ATTCGGAGGGGTCAGAACGGATTAACCATATTTACATTGAACCTTATGGGAAAATTTGATTCGGGTCGCGACCAGTTCAGGTCGCGACCAGAGTCACAGAATGAATTAAGTTCGTGAACCGAGGTACCACTGTATTAAATCACACATCAAAAGCAAAGTGTCTGCTGTATGGACTATGGAATAAAGAATGGTGAATGTCATTTACTTGTGTCAGTTTCAACTGACTTCACTGCAAATTGGGATTCTTTGGGGAAAAGCTAAGAGGCACCAAAATTTTGGCTGTGCCTGTATGTCATCTGAATTCAACTATATTTTATAAACGTACATCTTGTGTGTTACATCGTTCAAGCAATGATTCACTACTTAATTGATATTAATATTAAAATTGATATAATATTACAATTATCATTATTAATTCACAGCTTTTTTCCTGTATTTAAAATTTTGTATTTGTGCTTTATCTTTCTGGAACAATAAATAACATGAAAAAAGATATAAGATTATATGCAGTATTAATCTAATGTTACTTTGAAAATTCTTGTTTAATTTAACACAGCCTGTAATTCTGTATTTCTTTTTTGTTCCTTTATTTCTTTGTTCCTTTTTTTCTTGGTTGTGCTAAATATTTGTTAAAATAAAATAAAAAATATATTGTGTTGAAAAACATAGCTAAATGCCATAAATATACTATGAAAAACATCTCCAGTCAACTTTGTAATATTATATAAAGTGGCTGATAATTATTCACTTTATCCTATGTGTCAGAACCACAGGATGAAATTGAATCAGTATGGACCACACCTTTGGTTAAAATGAAACAATATGAAAGTTTATGCTTTAAGAATCTACCCTTTGTGTACAATTTTAAATCTGTGTATTCGATGTATTGTGATGTAGCTGTACAGAGTGAAAGGAAGCCTTTTGATGTGCAGCGTGAGAAACCAACCAACTGTGCTGCTTCAACAGAAAAAATATATATCAGAAAGGACTTAAGAAGTCCTCTAATAGCAACCCCAACATTTGTTGCTGATAAAGATGGGGCTAGGTAAGTAGTGAATGAGTCTTTAAAGCCCCTTTAGAATTAAATATTTAACTTGTAAAAACATTTCAATATTGTTCAAAAAATTAATAAATTAGACAGAAGCCTACTTTTAAGATAATTATTTCCTTTCGAATTGAAACACTGTTTTTATTTTATTTATTAATTTTGTCCAAAATTAAAACATAGAATGACAAATAACAATAAGGAACAAGAAACAAAATGGTATGAGAAAGATTTCATTTCCATACACCCTTCATTTATTTCAGAACTATATTCTTGTGTGTGCAGATATAGTATATTCTTGGGAATAAACCCATACACAGATAAGCCGACCCTCAAAATGTTTGTATATTTTAATTTTCATAATTGGCTTATTTGCAGGTGGTGCATTTTTTGTGGTATTTTGGTGAAAAAGTTGAAGCTCCATCTGCTTCAAATAGACTTATCCATGAGGATAAGGGAAAAAACCTTTAAAAAGCTAAGGGAAAAAACCTACTGTATATACTCATGGCTAAGCCCATCCAAACCCAATATTTTGAGTGTATTTTGGCACTTAAAATTCTCAGCTCATCTGTGAGTATATTCAGTATCTAGAGTACATATAGAGAGAGACCAGTGGTTTTGTTTTTGTTTTTTACTGTGAGAAGTATTTTAAGAATTGGATCTGAAATATATCTACCTAGTGTAAAGGCAGTTTGGTCTGAGATTTACACTGATAGCCAAAACTGATCCAAAGTGTTTAAATCAACAGTAAATAAAGAAATAGGGTTGTATGAATCTTTTCATTGATGGTTTGCATGTGTTTAAGGAATAGTAATATAAAAATTCTTCTAATTTGGGACAAAATTATCTTGTCATTATATTTTTGGTATTCTGAAGCAGAGATGGTAACAAAATTATTTAGTATTTATAAAATGCTTTTATTTATTTAAACAGTTTACATAGCTGCCCATCTCACTGCTGCAACTTTGGGTGGCTGATAATTAAAACCAAAACCAAAAGAACAATCCAAAATAATGGAAAAGAAATTACAGTAACAATTATATGCCAGAGATCCAAAGATATTATTTAATCTTGCATTCGATAGTGAGCAACTAAACAATGGACAGACCAATCAGTTGGGCTCACCTAACACTCCAGCCCAAATGCATGAGAGAACAACCAGGTCTTTGGCATCTCACAGAAGGCCAATAAGATTGGATCCATTTGAATCCTGTATTATATTATATATCTATCTGGCCCAGTCATTTCATTTGTTTCCAAATTTTTAAAAATCTCCCCATATTCTTTAAAGTCTGTTGGATTGCCCATGTTTCCCTCACTTTCAACTGATCTGTAAACTGATCACGTCCTAATTTATTTTAATAGGCTTTGATTTTGTTGACAGGACTTCAATATTTCACCTTCTTGTTCTTAATTTATATACCAATAGCCTGGAACTTATATTATTAAACTTATAATTTGTTTTAGTATATAACATGAAGGCCATGGTTTTATCTAATCCAACCAATTCTAATTCCTTTGTCTAAAACTTCCAGTTCCCTAAAAATATTTTTAAATCCCACTCTTTTAAATATATTATACCAGAAAGTATATAAAGCATGATAAAGGACAAAAAAGGCAGGGACCTAACAGAAGCAGAAGAGATTAAGAAGAGGTGGCAAGAATACACAGAAGAACTATA